CTAGTCTAACTGCTGTATGTCAGCCGATATAAGATTTGACCATGTGCAATCTGTGTCACGGCATAGCTTCTATTGACGTGCAGTGCGTCTGAATATATGCCATCATTCCACGTACGTCTCAGGTAGTGTGGGCCGTCGGTACTCAGTTAGTCAGTTAGATCAACAACATGGAGATAATGGCATCATAACGAAGTACTTCTCTTCTCTCTTGTGGTGTTTTTATATGGAGGCTTAAATGAGAGAGAGAGAGAGAGAGAGAGAGAGAGAGAGAGAGAGAGTGGTGAGTGAGTGAGTATGGTTTTCGCCGCTTTGAGCAATATTCCAGCAATATCACGGCGGGGGACACCAGAAATGGGCTTTACACATTGTACCCATGTCGGGAATCGAACCCGGCCTTCGTCGTGACGAGCCAACGCTTTAACGACTAAGCTTCCTCGCCGCCCCGAGAGAGAGAGAGAGAGCGAGAGAGAGAGCGAGAGAGAGAGAGAGAGCACCAACTCCATCCGCACGCACGCATGTACGCACGCACACAGTACACACATACACACAAATGAAGCATCTATCCATTGATGCGTACATTATTGGATTACACGCAAATGAGATACAAATGTATCGAGTATTAGTTCAAGGCATGAAATAAGTTGGGAAATATAACTACTTTTTGATACATTTTTATCTATGTCCTCAAATAATGTGTCATTTCTAACAACAAAAGATCCTCGCATATGATAAAAGACCACGACGAAAATGATAATATTTCTTATGGCCTTACTATTACGAGTCTATTACCAGAGATCGACGGTTTCCCGTTGATAACATACACATCTTCATGTCAAACCCCCAGCAAGACTCCACAAATGCCTATCCATCATGTAGGGGTGGGTCTTCTCCACTTGATATAGTCAGGGACCGGGGCAAAGGGCTGCATGACCCCCACCCCTACATGTGGGGTCCAGAGCCATGAGCGAGGGAGACCAGCGCTATTACGGGAGGGGGCCGGTAAAAAGAGGATCCCACGGGTTCCTGGTAGTCTGTTGCATAGTCTCCTCAACCACATTTTTTTCCTTTTCGACCAGCCCTTACCGTAATGTTATAATCCTAACTGAAGCAAGTCTAGACTTTAGCACAGGTTCAACTCGCATCACATTGGCTCTTTTTTAATTTAAATGTAGCTGCTTGTTTCTATCAAAATTATATATTTTCGGAGACTGGGCGTCAGTTAGGGCTCCTAGGTATGTGCGGATATCGTTAGGCTGGTGCTGGAACACTTGGGGATGCAGTTGCCAGTATCAGCTGAACAAGAGCTGGTGCGTGGTAAATATCAGGTCATTGACCTGAGAAGAGAAAATAACGTGTCTGTGTTATTAATATAATCTTAAGGTTAGGTATTGGGGAAACTATATGATAGTGATTTGACATTGCTGTAAAACACATCCTATGTTATTCCTGTGTCTTCAATTAACAATGTTAATCAAACATTAGTATCATCATTATGTACAGATTAAAATTTTTAAAATGCAGCAAAGTAGGTTTGGGTGATAATGGCAGTCAGGTTGGTTAGGCTCATCATCTGCTCAGGGCCTTTGTCCCCTCAACATGCAGCCCAGACAGCGAATGGGACTTTTCCCTTGAGGCGCTGCCTTGTCAAACCCACCCAAAACATTTGGGAGAATGTGACTCCCCAACACTGCAGCCTTCTGCATTACCCAGATTGTCGGAAGGGCTGTATTCCTGGCAGCAAACTCGGGCACTCTCCAAATGTCAGTCAACCGACTGGGAAGTACCAAACCTAAGGCACCAAGAACAATGGGGAGTCGGACAACTTGGTACTTGGGATGCAAGCGTGACATTTCGAAAGCGAGGTCCGCATATTTGCCATGTTTTTCCTGAATCTTATCAATCACATCAGTGTCAAAAGGGACAGAAAATTCAATGATATAAATGATTACATTGGATTTATCAAAAAGGACAAGATCAGGTATATTGGCTTAAGATGCTGTGTTTGTGCCAAAGGGGATCCACTGACAATGTGTTGGACATTAAATTCATTTCATATTTACATTTTGATTCAAAATCACACATTGACGGTTTCGTCTGGCAGGTGACTGGTCCTGAGCAGCATAAAGGAAAGCCTTCTGTTTCACTTTTCAGGCCAGCCGACTTCAGGCAAGAGAAGGACTCTGCAGGGTTGCACTGCACATAAACTCGATGCAGTGGTCGTTCAGATAGCCTCTCCTTGCAAAACTGAGTCTGGGTCAATTTGATATGGCACTTTGCTTGGTTGACACTAATATCTGTACCGTCCAGCAGTACAGAACCATCAACAAAATCAACACTGACATTGAGATTATGTCCCACATACTTGGCTCGTTTAAGGAAACTGTGGAATGCCTTGTTTTCATCATGAGTCTTGACATTATTATAATTATAGTTATGTTTATGTTTATTATTATTATTGGAATGTCGTTGGTAGGATTGGCTTCATCATCAAAATCCAAGTTATATGCCTGAAAGTTATGTTTTTAAGATTACAAATGCCACAACCAACCCTTAACATACCTTACAACATGTCTGTTATAAATCCGATTTCAGAGAAAGTGTAGCAGAAACGTTCAGGCAATATATGATAATATGTCAAGGATGCTAACGAACGAATTCTTTCGAAGTAGAACATTTGCCCAGGAAGACGTTTAAAACAAATATGTACTTTTCCTCGATTTGGCATGTCTCCCATTATGTCTGTATGCCGAAATACACCTGAAATTGGTATCCCACTTAACACATGGACCTTACTGTCAGAACCAGTTACAGGATCTAGTTCCTAATACCAAATACAGGATCTGGCAGGTTGCACCAGTTACAGAATCGAGTTCCTTGTATCAGTTACCTGATCTGGTTCCGTGTACCAGTCTCAGTATCTAATTCCTTGTACCAGCTAGAGGATCTGTTCCCTTGTACCAATTACAGGATATAGTTCCGTATACCAGATACAGGATCTAGTTCGAGTTCCAGGATCTAATTCCTGGTACGAGTTATATGATCTAGTTCTTCGTACCAGGTACATGATCTAGTCCCTAGTACCAGTTACAGGATCTCGTCCAAAGTGCCAGTTAGCCGAATTGGTAGATTGTACTGATGCGCATGGCCTATATGGCGACTAAGGATGGAGATGGGATCATCATGGTCTTTTGTTTTAAATTTAAGCTAAAAATGTTTTCTTTTCAGAAACAAAATATTCTACAATCGTACATTCGTTTAAAACGTGTGTATACGGGCTGATCCAGAAAGGGATGGAGAGGGTGCGAACACCCGCCCCTTAATAACCCCAACACCCCCACGCCTCTTTTCACACATGTTTCTGTTCACTTCGAAACATGGGTAAAAGGTGCAACCTCCTTTTATAACCGCCTAGATTGTATGCCCGTGGGTGGCTAGCCGGGATCAACTGACTTCATTTCATCCCAGGTATAAATTCAGCCGGTGGACAGTAGGGTGCGGCAAGAGTCAAGAGGCCATGAGGCTGGTGATATGTACCCCCAAGCCAGAATGATAATTGGATGTCTGTTCGACAGGAGGTCTTGTTAATAGGTCTAGTCGGTGTGCCCTGGCTCACTATCAAAGATATGCAGAACACAGCGATATACGTCCAGGTCTGGAGAGTACGACAGTGCGTGGCGATACGTTCATGTACAGAATCATTATCTTCGAAAGAATGTTTCTTTTATTACCCCAGAATGCTGTATACGCCGAATAAAGAGAGGAGATTTATTACGTCTCCTAATTACAATAAACACTGTTTTTCCTGCATGATAAATCAAGATGTCTCCACGGCTTAATGCCACCGTCGTCCTCACTAAATCAGTCCGGCGGTGCCAAACCATCAAAGAAGCTGCTTGTTACAAGTAAAAGAATCAGTTCGGTATCGGAACTCATTGCCATGGTTTAACCTAATTGTATATATTCAGCCTGACATTCGACAAGCGAGAAACAAAGATGTATTAATAAACAAGGTCTTCCCTTTCTCCTTCAATTGTCGCCTATCCCGTGAAAATAAACCGCCTAGTGGGTGTATCCATCCGCGACAATGCGTTCACGTGCCACTCCCCACGGTCCTGCACGGCACGTGTTGATGGTGAACCTCCCTTCCTTCCGACTGTTTAGGGTTATGCCCCTTCGGAACAAATGAAGCTAGACTTTTATTACGTTGCATAATTTGTACTTTAACTCAGTGGATATGGAGGGACTTTAGTAAAGTGTTAATTTCTTCCGACGTTATCTGGGTGGTTTAATTTTGCATCCATGTTTTTATACCAATTGTATTGTAAAAACATGATGATGATGATGATGATGATGATGAAAATGATGATGATGATGATTACACAGCAACATAATGTTACTACTACTACCACCATCACTACTGCTACCACTATACTGAAACTACTACTACAAATAATAATAATTATAATAATAATAATTTCATTATTATGATCATTATGATAATAATCGACCACAATTAAATGTGTTCATGTTGGTATATCTGTTGCATGTGTACATGTAAATTTATTTCGATTTGGTTTTAAATACACGTAAGAGACGAACTCCAAGTTAGAGATAAACTCAAATTATGACATATTAAATTAGGGTTAGCATGCAACACAATCGCTTGTAATTGGATCTTAGAGTAAAATATTATTTAATCTTACTCATGTTTTATTTTAGTTTGATTGAAAAAAAGTACCTAAGTTAGCCATGTTTTCTGTGAACTGCAGATGCAACCTGGCCACAATATGGCGGACTGCACCAAGCTCCGTTACTTCAGTGTGTCATGTTTTCAGCCTGTTCTTTACCCATGTTTATGGTGTAGAAGATTTAGCAGCTGCCGTTACATTAATGCATAGCAACAACAAGGATTTATTTACATCAAATAAACACTTTGTTCGTTACAAGGGGGCCTCCCTTCTCACCATACGGAACACAAATGGCGGGGCAGACGACACATTCGCACACGTGTCTGTCACGTGCTCTCCCTAGATGGCGCTGTTTGTGACGTCAGATAAAGGTGAGAACATGTCAAAGATTACGTTAATGAAAAACAAAGCAGGAGGGCATATGGTAAGACTTTACAACACATGGCTTGACACTCCTTTTCTGGAATAAATAAGATAAATATATGAGTAATTATAATATCAACAAGATGGTTTTATCGATTTTAATGGATCTCGAATGGAAGAGAACTTGTTTTTGAGGTGTCGTTGACAACTGAACTTATTCTGGATCACATTGTGATGCATGAGGTCATCTAACCTATTTTACATACTGCTATGTACTGAGTGAGTGAGTTGGATTCAAAACCCGCTTTTAACAATATTTATCACCCAAAACTAGCTCCCACAGGAGATATCGCTTGGGTGAGATCAAGCAATATCTACATATCTACACGATATCTGTAGATATCGCTGCAATGAAATTGCATCACAATACTTTGCAGACCATTGTGATGTCATTGGTTAGCATGGCGCCACAATCAAATGACATCACTAATGACTCTACTACTGAAGTTTTACACTTAAGACACTGCTTATTACTGTCTTCAAACTGAAAAAATTGGAAGAATGATGTTGGATGATAAATAAAATCTCACCCTCGTGTCTTTTGATATCAAATATATCAACACTCGTTGATAAAAGTGGGAAAACTCCTTGGCATGCCTCGGAGTTTTTCCACTTTTATCAACTCGTGTTGATATATTTGATATCAAAAGACACGAGGGTGAGATTCTCTATATGCCAGTTATATATCACGGCGTGACAGATTCATGTGGGAGGAAAGCCTGAAGTGGTGCAGGCCTGAGAAGTTTACCACTTAGTTCTAAACCCACGAGCACGGGTATGTTGCTGACAAACCTAGAAACATGATCGGGGCGAACCGGGATTCAAACCCACGATCATAGGTTTCTGGGACCCGTTCCACACAACGATCTTAGTGCTACGATTGTCGTAAATCAGGGTTAAAGAATGGGTGTTACGACCGACTTAGCGCTAAGATAGCTTTGTGGAACGGGGCCCTGGTGTGCTCAGGGAAGGCAACTCCGCATATGGAATTTCGGTGTATTAGACGATTGGGCCACCCGTGTCCCCGTTGATATATTGTAGTTACTTTTACTCAAATTATGACACAATGGTTACATATAATCTGTCTGACATGCTTGGAAATACTGATATGGAGAGGGAAAAGGTAACGTGTGTTTAGGGGAGTAATAGGACACCGGACTCCCCCACACCTTAAAACCCCTCCAACCACTCTGATACAGGCGTGCCACTTTGGTGAGGCCTACGAGCATGGGTCATAATAATCAAGGATCATAAATACTCACGACTTTTGAATCCTGGCATGGCAAGGGGCGACAATCTGTAGAGACGATTGTAACCCGATTGGTACCTGATGCAAAATGTTAGATGGGTCTATTCACTGCGAATGCATGAATATTTTTTTCTCAATTCCAAATTTGAAAGCGTGCCATTATCCGAATGGATACCAAATAAATAAAATATGATGTTCGATCAATATTTATCAGAACAACTTCTATTTACCTCTACCTACGTTAACTCGCACAGTGGTGACACATGACGTCACTCTCGACATGATGCAATGGATGACTAAAGACGTTGGTCCCCAAATTAAATTTCCGGACATTGTGTACCCAATAACAAATATATAAACAAGACGTGCCATCAGCCTTATTCCGCATTAATTATATATAACTATGTTTCATTAATTTTACATTTGGTCTCCACATTCTCCTAGCCAGACGGACCCGTGAAGATCCGGGGTAGAATAGGCCTTCAGCCACCCATGCCTGCTGTAAAAGGCGACTATGCTTGTTATAAGAGGCGACTAACGGGATCGGGTGGTGAGGCTCGCTGACTTGGTTGATGCATGTCATTGATCCCAATTGCGTGGATCGATGCTCATGATATCAATCACTGGATTGTCTAGTCCAGACTTGACTATTTACAAACCGCCGTCATATAGCTGGAATATTGCTGAGTGCGGCGTTAAACAACAAACAAACAAACAAACAAACAAACAAAACCTAACCAGGCGAGTTCAAATGTTAGTAAAGAAGCACATCACGCCATTCATTATATCATGACGTCATATCACTTAATCATATCATTTGACGCCATAGCATTCCAGAGTGACCAAAATGTGAGAGTTCCCGTAGAGAGATCGGAAGAAGAAAAGACAGGAAGAATACTCTAAAACACGTTATGATTGCCTCCTAATTAAGCCCTTAATCAGAAGAAAATATATCCATGAAACACAATTTACCTGGTTGTCGCATTGTTTGGGTAGCACAGTAGATAGCGCGCTTGCTTGTCGCGCACCTTCCGAGGTCGATTCCACACAATGTCATGTCCTACAATTCCGTGATTAAAATCCAATACCGCGACACTGTAGGAACACCGCTACCGGCCACGAAGGTTAATGTACTCAATATCATGTTTAATGGTGTCGCGACCTTCCCTTACCCTTGTTTATCTGCGTCAAACAACCCTGACAGTGTAGCTTTATGCTTTCTATCGACCTTGAAACGGCTTTTATAGTTGCTGGAATATTACTGACAGTCTCCCAACCAATTAGTTCGAATGCAAGGACAGTATGGGGTACAGTTTGTGCAAAGTCATAATTCATAAACAATAACACTGTCAGTGCAGGTTGTTCTCCCTTATGAGTTACACACAGACACAAAGCAAAAACACGTGATCATAGAGCCATATATCATTTGTTTTTTTCGTGTTTAAAACATTGGTATAATAGACTTCCACTTGACAATATTACCTGCCATGCACTCTGGGTCGGCGTTTTGCGCCCCTCTCCATCACACTCTACTTGACTGATAGATATATACAACAGTAGTGGTGATATATACTTGCTGCAGTGATAAGAGGTCTAATTGACACTCGTGTAATTAACAAGCATGTTTTGCAATATACAACCCTCTCCTAGAACAGTATGTGAGTAAAGTTTTGTGATGATGATGATGATGACGATGATGATGACGACGATGCTGCTGATGATGGTGGTGATGTTGATGATAACGACGATGATGTCCACGTGCAACTGTTCGAGTGGGATAAGATGGAAATAAAAATAGATATGTAGTAGTTTAATTGTGTTACCATGGAAACAAGTATACATGTTAGCGTTTTCTTTCGAACGAGTATAGAGATAGTTTTTCCTATGTAATACCCTTGAAACGAGCGTGCATGCAGTCGTCCACTTACCATGGCAACGTATGTACAAAACGCTGTTTCCTTCTCTTAACCTGCAAACGAGAGTTTACATAGCCACGCGCATGCATGAACGTGTGTGTGTATGTGCGCGCGCGTGTGTGTGTTTGTGTATGGAGTGCGTGTGTGTGGGGTGTGGGGTGGGATGGGGGGGGGGGGGGGGGGGGGGGGTGCTGATTGTATTGGTCCAGGATTTTATCGTGCTAGCCAAATGAGATACCATGCCGCAGATTTTTTTTACATTTAAACCTCAGACACAATATACTGCCTCCGGATCTACCACCCTTGTTTTATCCCTTTATGCCAAACACCAGCCAGGGTAACAACAACTACTATATTTTAACGGGTTTTTTTGTATGACGCGGGCGGGGATCGAACTACCGACCTTCCGCTCTCTGGGAAGACGCTCTATCCTCAGCACCACGGCGGTCTACCTAAAAAAACGAAACGTGCAATGTGTTGACTAGATACGAGTTAGGAGTCATTCCTACTGTGTACCGACCCGTGCGGATGAATCAAGGGAGGATGGGCGGAGTCTTATGGGCATGTTCCCCATCCTTCCTCCTGACTTCACACGTGCGTGTGTTCCTGTTGTAGGATGTTGTCATACACATGGCTGTGTTTACCTGATGCATGGCAGCATGCATTCACCAGCTGATCGATGCCATCAAGGCATGTACAGGAAAGCTTCTGTTATCTGTTCCAAGCATGTTTCCTCACTCTCTCAAATACTTGTTTACAGGTGCCCAGTGTCATATCAATGTTGTAGGCTTTGTTTGTTTCTTGTTTAACGCCGCACTCAACAATATTCCACCTCTATGACGGCGGTCTGTAAATAATCGAATCTGGACGAGATAATCCTGTGATTGAGCATCGAATTACGCATTTGGGATTCGACGTCATTCATCAACCAAGTCAGCGAGTCTGACCACCCGATTTCGTTACTCGGTCCTTACATCAAGCATAGGGAGTGAAGACCAATTATGGCCCAATCTTCACGGGACAATGCTGCATGCGGGAAAAACTGAGTGAGTGATGAATGTGGGCTTCATACCGCATTTTCATAAAATTACATCGTAGTTCTGGAATTTAAACCGAAAGGACACAGAACTTGGACGTTGACCACTTCGGTGAAAACATTGACGGGGGTATGGTGCTGACTTACCAAGGACCACAATCTCGGCGAATCAGTTTCAAACCAACGGATACCAGTATAATATGTGGTTGTTTGTTTTTGTTTGTTAGTTGTTTAACGCCGCACTCAGCAATACTACATCTATATGACGGCGGTCTGTAAATAATAGAGTCTGGACCAGACAATCCAGTGATTGATATTATGAGTATCGATCCACGCAAATTGGATATGATGACATGTATCAAACAAGTCAGCGAGCATGACCACCCGATCCCGTTAGTCGCCTCTTACAACAAGCATAGTCGCCTTTTACAGCAAACATGGGTTGCTGAAGACCTATTTTAACCAGGACCTTAATTGGTGAGTATGATATCTGTGTCGTGCCCTTGTGAAATAGTAGGACGCGACCTACAAATACCTGTGTCTTTTTTTAGTGCCTCGTTTTCGAATGTCAGAGATACCATTTATAGACAGCACGTGGGAGTCCAGCGATAAACAGGGTCGTTCTTAAAATATTAAAACTAATCGTTCCGATAATATCCTTTTTCAGATTGTAATGAAATGATCCTCTAAAATGATTACTGGGAAATGGCGCTAGAAAACTATAGGGCTGTAAAACATGATAATGGACAAATTGAAAAGCAATCAAAACAACATAGGAATAACGTCACATTTTTATGAAGACATATCGACGATGTGAGGAGTTCAGACTGTCGTTAACATTCACACGACTTATCATATTGGCGTTAGTGGCTGTGCGGGGGAGTTTTCGTCAATGCCGAACTGTCGCACAACATTTCGGAAGATTGTGGGATGATAGAACACAGGATTGTTGGCTGATTGAACAGTAGGATTGCGGGGTGATAGAGCTCAGTGTGATCACATGCATCTTAAAGTCAATTCCATTAACTATAAACAGATAAGGTTAAACCGTGAACAAAGATTAGGAATGCAGTTATGATTGAGTTGGTAGGATATGTCTGACTGATAGATATATCTGGAAATAATATCTTGTATATTAATAACCTTCTTTGGATGAACTGGATAAGTACTAACGATGACTGAGCTGAAGTTGATCACCAAGGCTGATATTGTTTATCACATCAGAAAATTAACAAACGAATAGTTATTCTGACGGGTAAAATATATTATACAGATAGGTTTGCGACGTAGGTGATATACTAGCCATTACAATAAAACTGAGATACCATGCCACAGGTTAGCATGAATACGCCCACTCAGATACAGTATACTGACACCGAGCCGACCAGTCCTTGTTTTAGCCGAGCGTCAGACATGGTAACAACAAGTACCATCTTTTAACGTCTTTTGTTATGACGCGGCAGGGCAGACGCTCGGCCACGAAACCACGGAGGCGGTCCCTACTGGATAGGGTTTATTAGACAGCCTTCATCAAGATTCTCTAAACATTGTTAAGCATTACTGAAACAACTCTGTGCGGAAGGCAATAACTAGGTTTCTGTAACACACAATTTGGTATTTAATTGTGGCTTTGGTCATGCCTGGTCTGCATATGACGTCGGTAACAGATATATATTTTTGAGGATTTTCAAACTTCGATGTTAAGACATATGAACAAAAATGATACCGTGAATTAAGTCAACCCAACTGTATAAATTAATATTCAGAATTAAGGCTTATCAGAAAGTCATCTCATATGAATAAAATACAATGGTCATAACTCAGATTAGATTTTAAAAAACAGAAATACAATTATGTTTATACTGCAGCAATAAAAACAAAGAAGATGAGTACCATGTATATCTCGAAAGTCCACAATATCCAGGAAATACGTAAAACGTATCTGCCAAAGTATAATGTAATACGACCAAGTCGTAATATATTTCGTGAGATTGTATTTGCTGATTTGAATTATACTACTCAACACTTGCTAACAACCAACGTATTCACCTTTAGTTAAAGGTGTTGTCCTCAGCAAATGTTGAACAGTATATCAATAATTTTGTCTCATATTTTCAGATTAAGGGACAGCAATCCTTAAATAATGTTATGCATAAGCAATTGTTACAATATTGATAACTATGATTAATGTCAACGTAAATTAATTCCACAAGTATATTATACAGATTGTACTGCTATTACTGCACATTAATATTACATATGTGATGAAGGCCTGATGGTGACATATACGGAATAGACGCCATCAGTACTCTTCATGAAATTCACGAAGTACGAAAATAAACACGTCTGTGTTAGCAGTGCCTGATTATGACAAAGAAGAATATTTCAAATAGTTTGTCAGTGACAGGGCGTACAGTAACTCCTGAGCGCATTTCAATATAGAAACATATTTTCTAGTTTAATATTTTGTATCAGCGTTATCGACCGCCAAGCAGCCTACGCCATCACCGTGATAACTGATACGTAGGTACTTTAGGCCTACCTATCTATTATTTACACACACCTCAACAACACTGAACATGTAGAGAAATCCATGACTTCGAGTACGTTTGTCTTCTCTCCTCTTTTGTAGTGTTCTGTCCGGGTGCTTTCTCTCTTTTCCTCCTTCAAAACACCTCTTCTCATTCTCTCTCTGCTCATATCTCTGCTCTTCTCTCTTCTCTTCCTGGGGCGGTCGGGTAGCCTAGTGGTTAAAGCGTTCGCTCGTCACGCTGAATAACCGGGTTCCATTACAGACATGGGTACAATGTGTGAAGCCCATTTCTGGTGACCCCCGCCGTGATATTGCTGTAATATTTCTAAAAGCGGCGTAAAATTATACTCGCTAACTCTTCCCTTCCTGATCTGTTCTTCCCTCTCTACTTTCTCTCTCTCTTCCCTCTCGCCTCCTCTGTCTCTCCCCTCTCTGCCTCTCTCATTTCCGTTTTTTTCTGTCTCCTCTTTATCTCTCTTTCTTCAATCTCGAGTCTCTCCTTATAAAGTAGAACCCAGCTTATCCGGACCCGATACACCCTGAAACCTCGCCTACCGAACGATATTTACCTGGAACGAAATATATACTACATAAAATGCTTCATTTAT